TTTGCCGTGGGCAGTCGTGACGAGAACTGAACCGAGGGAGGCTTGGGCCTTGACTTGGAAAAGAGCGGCCAGGATGGATTCGATGAAGGGTGGGCTCAGCCGGTGCTCGTCGTTGCCGGTCAGAGTTAGAATGAAAAGCTCGCCGCGCTTCTCAACGCTGCACGGTTTCGGGAATATTGGTCGATACTCTCTAACCAATCAATTATCAAGCTAGCTATAACTGACGGAAGCTTTTTTTTTTCTTCTTTTAAAAATGTTAGGCAATTATAATTAATGCCTATACTCCAAATAAATTTGTGGCTTTTTAGCCCACTCTAAGTATCTACCTTTAAGTTAAATCGAACATAGTTCAAGTGGTTGAGACATTATCTCTGACCAACGGATCATGAGTTCAAACCCCCACCGCTATATATTATATAAAAAATATATATACGCTCGACGTACAAGAGCGTGGACAATTCTACTATCACTATATCTCTATCAAATATCCTCTTGCTCACGAAAGGTACATATATGATATATATATGAATAATTGGCTGATACAGATTGTATCATAATAGAAAATGTAGCAATAAAGTCATAACCTTTCTAATAAACTACTACATTCCATGGCTCCTAATCCGTCCAAAGCTTAGAACAAGATGGAAGAAACTCAACAAATAACATGCTATTTAAAACACACTTTGCTTTTGGTTTTGGCATTATCACAGGGAGCAAAAGAACAGAGAAAAACAAAATTCCTCCAGCTAATCGATGAAAACAGAGTCCAGAATTATTGAGTTTTACAACACCGTATCAACCAAAACACTCCAACAAACAAATCCACCAAGACGACATGTCGTTCATTTGGCTTACTGCTTACATCTTTCCATTTAATCCATCCAGTAACGGAGTCATTTCAGGATACAGACTCTTCCTAATCTGTGCGTAAGCTCCCCCCTCCCACTTTCTCTTCGCCAATTTTTGTCCCATCGCCACCGCAGCCTCCATCAACCCCTCCTCGCCGTCATGGGCTGCATCGGCGATTCCCAACTTCACCGCCGATTCGCCGTTCACCTTCATCCCCGTCAGCAACACATCTCGCCGGACTGAAGCTGACCCGATTTTCGACCTCATCAATGCCGCAAAGTAGTCGGGCATGGTTAAACCCAAATCAACCTATCAATAAATGGAAATGTTAAATGTCCATAAATATCGGTGAGAATCTATATATAAAAATTAAATTTAGCTAACCTAAAAGCACCCATAAATAGGGGTGAGAAAAATTTATATATGTATATATATTAATTAAGCTTGAGAGTAAATTAGAATGTGCATTAAATATTATTAAGAGTAGGGTAGACAAAATACAACCCATCAAAATATATATAAATTAAATTTATCTAACCCATCAAAATCAAAATCTCCTCCCTTCTCATTAACCTCTCTGTTGTATATATAAGACTAGACTCACCAAAATCTCCTCCCTTCTCATTAACCTCCCTGCTGTATATATAAGACTAGACTCACCAAAATCATTTGAGCTAATCATTGGAGCCTATAAACAAGGAAACTAAATAATTACATATACAATATAATACAGAATATTCTACTCTAACATAGGGTCTATTTATCCTTAACAAAAAGGAGGAGGTCTTGTATTTGAATCAATATTGTTTCCTCTCTAATCATAGGATAAATTTACCTGATCCAGCTTAAGCTTTTTAAGCTTTTTTAAGTTGAATAGTGGTTTATTAATCTTTAACCAATAGTTCCAATTTAATACTTATGGTTAACTTTTTTTTAAAACCCAATTAGGGTGGGATAGAAGTGTCATAGCCATTTGAACTTATGCATCGTCAGTTTAAAATTTAAAACATATAAAACTAGACATCGTTCCTTAGATTCGTTTTGTACTTAAAAAAACAAAACTAGAGTAATTAAATTGAAATTTCTAAAATTGGACTAAGGTGAAACACTGATTAATCAGTTAAAAAAAAAGAAGTTAAGTCTCAAGCATGATTAGATTATCAATAAGAACTTAGTCCAAGGGGATGGATTATGATAACTTAATATTATATATGAGGAAAATTACAATACAAAAATTCGAACATAAATTTAATTATATATAATATCTAAAAAAAGTGGTAATTAATCAAACCTCACTCATGTAGAGCACGCCTTTATCGCGCCTCATGAGGACGAAATCGTGGGCGAGCGCGAGAAGGAAGCCGGCGGCGGCGGCGTGGCCGGAGACAGCGGCGATGGTGGGCATGGGGAGGGAGAGGAGGGCGGCAACAACTGGCTTGAAGATGTGGACCATGTGGGCTAGGCGGTCAGTGGCGGCAGATTTGGAGCCGGCGGCTTGGGCCCAAGGAAGGTCGAAGCCGTTGGAGAAGAAGCGGCCATGGGAAGTGGTGAGGAGAACCGAGCCGCGCGTGGCTTGGGACTTGACTTGGGAAAGAAGAGAGAGGAGGGAGGAAACGAAGGGTGGGCCGATCCAGTGCTCGTTGTCGCCGGTGAGAGTGAGGATGAAGACATCGCCACGCTTCTCAAGAGTGCACATGTTTGAAGCAATGGATGACAGGTTTCTGAATTGTTTGTGTAAATAAATAGGGATAGAATTAAATAGAATCATATCAAGGAATGATGAGAGAGAGTGGAAAGTTAGGCACGCATTTTTAAGTTGAAGGGATGAGGAATGAGGAGGACATCTGCCCATCCCCTTCGCGTCTTATTACACGTTTTGATAAGTAGATTGCATAATTTTGGTCCGGGTTACATGCTTCCAACGACCGCTACACACACCTTGCCTGTGTCAATCCATCGAGCCAGTTTAACGTAACTAATTTCAGTATAACTCAACAAATTTAGGTATATATATTCGTCGTGAATTCGAATGGATCTTCCTCCTATTGTATTAGAAAAAAAAGTTGATCCTAACAAAAAAAAAAAGAAATAGAAGATAGATAAAGTAGATGTCTCTCATCTTATATATATATATATATATGGTCGTCTATGATTTCAGGTCGTTCGATTATTCTCTAATTTTTGACATTGATTTTGCTTAGTATTTGAAATCATATTCTAAAATATATATATATATATATATATATATAATTAAAAAGATCGTGTGAGTGATGAATCTAAAATTTTGAATCATTATCTAAATTTTATGCAAGAAAAGGATTAACACTAGGAAAATACTTAATTGGCTAGGTGTTTGTTTGTTCGGACTCGAAGGAAGAAGTACATATCAAATTACCTTGAGTTATGCTCTTATTTGTCATTACTTTATTATAGTTCATTGCCCTTATCATTTTGTTTTTACTGAATTCAAACCCTACTACCTTTGCTTTTAAGCTTTTGATAAATTTTCAAAATTAAAGTCAAACTATAGAATTAAATTGACAGTTTAACAATTGATTAATATAGTAGTCACACAACATTTGTACTGAAATTGATTGACCCGATCGATTTCATCCTCATTTCACACTTTCTCACTTTTATTCCATCCCTTTAAAATATCAAGCTGCTCATCACAACAAAGATATTATATGTTACCTCTGTCAATCGAAAGCACATTGTCTTTCACTGAAAGTGTTGAGATATTTATTGCTTTTAGTGCTGTCTGATTCACAGGCCATTAACTGAAATCAAATTTGTGGAAATGTTAAAAGAAGACCTAAAAACTTTGTAAAAAAAGAGCCATAAAACTCAATTCCAAAAATCCCAAAACCAATTATGTAAACAATCTAAGGAAAGTAAAAACCGGATTATCTCGTTGATTAAATATTTCAAGACAAAAAAACTCGTTTTTTGTTTGAGATCAAAATCACTCCAGAAACAAGATAGATCAATTCTCATTTGAATGATGCTAGCATGCAAGCTGTCATAAAATTGCAACAATACATTAGCTCTTTAACTAAAATAAAGATTTAAGGATAATTTCATTACATCTTAACTATATATCATGACTTTAAAAAAACCACAAATTGATTTTATATAGTCACTTGGGCAATCATGTGAAAAGTCCTCAAATAAGTAAATGAAAGGACTTGTAACCTACTAGAAATTAAAGGACTTTAAAATACAAAGATACCTAACATCCAAGAAAATGAAAAGACACATGACCTCCAATAAAGTGAAAAAACTTTGAAATTAAAAGGTTTATAACTACTGAATTAAATACGACATTGCAATTTTTATCCCTTTGACTTAGTGTCGAGATTCATACCACTATTGCAAAGAATCTTGGAATAATATTAGTATGAGGTGGGACTATAGTCTATACTATACTTTATAGAGTCTTGCTTCCTCAAAGAGTTTGGATTTTCTGGAATGAACATAATTAATATTGGTGCGGCTAAACTAGGAAAAAACGAAACAACCTCACACTCAGATGGCAACATTATAATTCAAAAACTTTAAAGTGAATAAAAAAGGAAAATAATTAATCGCCTGTCAAATGGTAAAATAAAATTAAAAAAAATATATATATATATATTTCGTTTTTACCATTTTGCCGGTTCTTTTTCCCGCAAAAATTTTTGCCGATTAGCACAGTAAGCGGCGCACGAGCAGTAAAAAAGACCGCGAAGTTGAGCATACAAATACTGGTTCGCGCCAACATTCTCTCCTGTTCTTATAAACAAACCCGAAACCCTTCCTTCAATCCACAGTTCCCGATTTCCACATTTTTTCTCTGAAGCGGAGAAAAGTTCAATGGTTTGACGATTTCCCTCGCACCCCAACTTTCTAATCAATCCGACCATGGAGGCAAACGGCATTCTAGAAGAGAAAATCAAGAAGGTTCGATCGGCGGTAGGCCCCGAGTTACCGGAATCATTCATCGTGAGGACTCTGTCGAGGAACGGCGACGATTCAGATGAGGCTATTAAATACATTCTCCAAAATCCTGGGTTCTTGGCCAAACCCTTGACTGTCGTGCGGACGGTCACGAGCACCGGTGCTCGAGTTTCGGCCCAGATTAAGCAGGATGATGATCCTATGGAGTCCAAGGAAGAAGCGAAACCGACTGGAACAAACTCAACGGTCCGAGTAAAGGAGGAACCGGTTTCAGGGCTCGAAGACGAAGGCGTAGAGAGCGGGGAAGTGAGCTCGGATCGCCCAAAGGTTTTGCCTAAAGTAATTGGAACGTCTAGAATGACATTCGAAGAATTTATTCAACTGACGAACACGAAAATTATGAGTGACGAGGAATGTCGCAAGATCCTAAAGGAAAATCCGGCTGCAGTGGGGGTAAAACCGAGCAGCCTTTCAAGTGCGAAGGTTGAAGTAAAGGAGGAAGTGGTTGAGACGATTGCACAACCTGGTGCTAATGCAAATGCGAGAGTGAAGGAAGAACCAGATTTGGAGTTTAAGAACAGAGTATTTGCAAAAGAAGCAACCGCAGGAACTGAAAAAGTTCCAATTTTGGTTCCAGGAAAGTCTAAAATGCATTCGGTTGATTCAAGTAGTATACAGAAGAAAGGAACAGTGTCTAATGATGGGAGATGCAAGGTGGAAGATGGGGATTTCCCAGTTGAGCCAGATTGGTTTTTGGTGGGAAGGACAATGGTCACGGCCATGTCCACAACGAAGGGGAATAAATTGGCAGACAATGAAATTGTTAGTTTTGCATTTCATTCTTCAAGCTCAAGATTTAACGCGCAATGGATTGTTCGATTCTCAACAAAACGTCATGGAGAGGTGTGTGATAGATAGTAGTTTGAACCATTTTATTCTCGTGAAATTTCATTACATGTGATTCATCTCCTGTGCTATATACGTGTAAAATGACAATAAATATAATCTGTCTAATGTAAACTTTTTGCTGTGATTATTTTTAGATCGGTCGCCTACCAATGGAGTGGGCAAAATGTGTAGTTCCACTTGTCAACTCCGGGAAAGTTAAAATTCTTGGACGGTGTATAGCTGCACCGGGAAACCTTCACATAATGCAAGAGATCCTGCTATATGTTAGGTAGTGTGATGAATTAAGTTGGTTTGTTTTTCCCTTTATTCTTTTGGGATCTTGGATTTTTATGGCAACCTCAACTGAAATCAGAAGTGCTAATGAATTTCAATGGTTATCTATTTGGCAGCTTTTATATTCATCGCTCGGTATTCTCAGACATTGATACGGCTTCATGGAAGTTGGAGGCCACACACATTGACTCTACAATTTACCCTCTTCTAACCCTTTTCAAATTACTGAAAATCAAACCATACCAGAAGGTTATCATCCATTAAGAATTGTTCATAAGAAAATAATGCACTATGACTTAATCAGTTTTTCAGTTTGTTTTCTTACTCTATGTTCTGATATTTTCAGGCTGAATTTACTCCAGAAGAACTTGATTCACGGAAGCGCCTGCTAAAGCTTGAAGTATGTTGAAAAATTTTCTACTCATGTTATGGTTTCTGTAGTAATGTGTTATTTTTGCTCACTTGTTACTCCCGATCTTAGTCAACTTTTGTATGTTTTTTAAAATGAAATTCTGATACTGAGGATTAATTAATCCTATGATGGCCTATATGATATAGTTTTGATTTTCCATGTGCATTTGAGTGTGCATTGAATGCATGTCTGCAAATAGGAGGAATGATAATGAACATGGTTTTCTTAATAACTGGTGGAAAAATGTGATTTAGTTGATTCTTGATGTTCACATCTTTCTGCCCTGCTGATGGAATACCCCCAACTATGTTGGATCGTTTAACAATTTGGAAAAACACGCCATTGACAAATAACAGTCCCTCTCAAAGAAAGACCATTAACATTATCACCCAATCATATTGTAAATACTGTCATACTGTTGTAGACTACGAAATGAAACAGACATCAGGCACTCATTTTAGACAGGCATAAATCTTTTCTGCTGACATTTCCAGGCTTGTTAAAATAACCAATTCTGTTAGAATAGGACGATCCAGATGAATCAGCATCAATGCTACCTATTGTGAAGCGAAGAAAGGGTTGCCAGCAATTTGCAGATCAGAACAAAGATGACCAAACTCTTAATGAATCGTCACTGACTAAGCTTGTTGGTGCAGCGGATATGTATAATTTGGATGTAAGTCACATGGCAATCTTATTCTATCTTTTATTCGCGGCCCATGACAAGGTTTCTCCTGTGAAACTTACACTCTGTGCATAGTTATACTCATTAGGATATTTATGTGAAATTCAGGAAATGGAGCCTCCACTTACACTGACATGCGATCTAAGGCCTTATCAGAAACAAGCTCTTTACTGGATGTCTGAGTTAGAGAAGGGGATCGATGTTGAAAAGGCTGCACAAACCCTTCATCCATGCTGGGCAGCCTATCGTGTTTGTGATGAGTATGTACTTTTAGTCCATGGAAAAGGTGCTGGCGAGGAGCAAAAGAAAAGAAGAGAGAGAGAGAGAGAGAGAGGGAGGGAGAGAGAGAGGAAATAAACTCCTTTATTGTAGTGTCTCATATTTGCCATGAAAGAAATTGAATTGTTTTCCAATTTGCAGGAGAGCGTTCTCAATTTATGTGAACATTTTCTCCGGGGAGTCGACTACAAAATTCCCAACTGCTACGCAGATGGCAAGAGGAGGGGTTAGTTTTCATATAAAGCCATGATTAAATTTAGTTTTATGAATCTTTTTTTGTCTATAGGTAGGATTTACTTGTACTTAACTTGTGATGTAAATGTGTAGATACTCGCAGACGCTATGGGGCTTGGCAAGACTGTTATGACAATTGCTCTAATACTTGCGAGAATGGGGAGAGGATGTCTTGATAACCGAAAGCCTGCTGTGAATAAGAATGATGCTACTGAGAAGAGGAGTCCAAATTCCACCGATAAAGCAAAGGGTGGCACTCTTATTGTTTGTCCAATGGCTTTGTTGGGCCAATGGAAGGTATATATCCTCTTTTGAAAATCCATAGACGTCCTTTTGTTTAAATTCAAAAGCTTTATCAGTCCCTGATGCTGAAAGGAGATACATCAATCTTGCTGCTGAAAACCTTACCGAACCACAAAATGCATCTGCATTATATTTTCTCTCTTATGATCATTTTGAATTTTGCAACCACAGGAGGAACTTGAAACACATTCAGAGCCTGAGAGTATTTCCATATTTGTTCACTATGGTGGTGACAGAACCAATAACCCTGATGTGTTATCAGGATATGATGTTGTCTTGACAACGTATGGTGTCCTAACGTCGGCCTATAAGAGTGTGAGTGGTTATATGCTATTCCCAACTTCACAGTACACATTAACGATGATGGAATTCTTTTTCCCAATGTTCACTCTTCCGTCTCACGTTTTATGGCCCCTTCACTTCTAATGCAGGATGGAGAGTGTAGTATTTACCACAGAGTTGATTGGTACAGAGTGGTGCTAGATGAAGCCCATACAATTAAATCATCAAAGACACAAACTGCGCAGGCTGCCTTTACGTTGAACTCGTATTGTCGATGGTGTCTTACAGGAACCCCCCTCCAGGTCCACATTGCCAATTTTCTCTAGTATTTTATATGATAACGTTATGAAAAAATTGTACTTCCTTTCATATTTTTTTTTGTTTAATAAACTTGGCATCTTTTATGTTTTATTCTTGTTCGATGAACTTGACATCCGATCTTTTTCTGGTAGTAAAAACTCAGTCACGATATAAGGAATAAGTTATAATTTGTGCTCTAGCATCTTATTTAAGATATTTTTTTTTTTTGTTTTGCTACAGAATAACTTGGAAGACCTTTTCAGCCTCTTATGCTTCTTGCGGGTGGAGCCATGGTGCAATTGGGCATGGTAGGAGATGATAGTGTTAATTCTAACTTTTTTTAGTTCAGCATATTTTGGTTTGAGCTGGATTGCTCATGTTGGTAGGTCTTGCTAACTTTTCTACCCCCTACCTGAAATTTTGGATTTGGTTAGGTGGAACAAATTGATTCAAAGGCCTTATGAAAATGGTGATCCTAGAGGCTTGAGACTGATCAAGGCTATCTTGAGGCCACTTATGTTGAGGAGAACTAAAGATACAAAGGATGCAAAAGGAAGGTAGTTTTTACTTTTTCGCTACATTCTCATAATTCTTATTCCCCACTAGGGACTTAAAGGCATTTGACATTTTTCTCTTCTGATTTAGGCCTATTCTTGTTCTCCCTCCAACTGATATTCAAACCGTCACGTGCAAACAGTCAGAGGCTGAACGTGATTTTTATGATGCACTTTTTAAGAGATCCAAAGTAAGTTGTTCAGAGTAGATTGATCTTTAGTTAAGTTTAAATTGCAGAAGCAAGCAAGAAGATATAACACCATATTCTCTTTTGCTTGTCAAGTTCACAAGTAGATTAGTAGCTCTCAGTAAAAAACAATCTCAAACGACAAGTGGCTTGGCCAAGAACGTTACTCACCATTCTTTTATGTGAATCAACAGGTCCAATTTGACCAGTTTGTGGCTCAAGGAAAGGTTCTCCACAACTATGCAAACATCCTAGAGCTATTGCTCCGACTTAGGCAGTGTTGCAACCACCCATTTCTTGTAATGAGGTAGGGATGAGCAAAATGAAGAATTAAAAAAACACATGGTTTCCTGTTTTCTGACATTCTATTGCAAACCATCCTTTTGGTTTGATAAACTTGCAGCCGAGGAGATTTGCAACAGTATGCAAACTTGAACAAGCTTGCAAGAAGGTTCCTCGAGTCCAACAGCGATTCTATCACGATGGAGCAGGCTGCACCCACCCGAGCATATGTGGAAGAGGTTGTAGAGTGCATTCGGTGGGGTGAAAACACTGAGTGTCCTATATGTATGGAGTTTGCTGACGACCCTGTGCTCACCCCATGTGCGCACAGGATGTGCAGGGAGTGTCTCCTCTCAAGCTGGAGGACTCCAACAACTGGGCTGTGCCCAATTTGTAGGCAATTGCTCAGGAAAACCGACCTCGTAACATGTCCATCAGAGAGTCCTTTTCGCGTGGACGTTGAGAAGAACTGGAAAGAGTCTTCAAAAGTATCAAAACTGCTGGAATGCTTGGAACAGATTCATCAGTCGGGTTCAGGTGAACAGAGCATTGTTTTTAGCCAGTGGACCATGTTTTTTGATCTTCTAGAGATCCCGTTGAAGAGAAGAAAAATTGGATTCTTTAGATTTGATGGAAAGTTGTCGCAGAAACAAAGGGAAAGAGTTCTAAAAGAGTTCAGTGAAAGCAAGGAGAAAAAGGTATATGAACATTATTTCGCATTGCTTCTCGTTTAGCTTCATGTTTCTTACTCTATTTTTCCGCTTAAAACTTCAGGTGATGCTAATATCTCTGAAAGCTGGTGGGGTTGGATTGAATCTAACCGCAGCTTCGAATGTCTTCATAATGGTACTTCACTTCAGTTTCTAGTTATTTTTTTCCTTTTGAAATGGGAAGGAACTGAATGGAGATCTTCAGTAATTATAGACATTTTTGTGTGTCAATACTACATTTAAGTTTGGTTCATGATCTTTAGGACCCATGGTGGAATCCTGCGGTCGAGGAACAGGCAATCATGAGAATTCATCGTATTGGCCAGAAGAGAACAGTCCGTGTCAGAAGATTCATTGTCAAGGTGAATTTTTGATTTTCTTAACCTTCTAGAAAATTCTTTCTTCAGATCCATGTCAAATTTGACGTTGCAAAGAAATTGAACCCCGTTCGTTCTTCAATACTTGGTCAAACGTCAAAGGTCAAAACTTATAATTTTGTATGTGATTCGACCACGTGGACAGGACACCGTGGAGGAACGCATGCAACAAGTTCAGGCCAGGAAGCAGCGAATGATCGCCGGTGCCCTCACTGACGAGGAAGTTCGGACGGCCAGGATTGAAGAGCTCAAGATGCTTTTTAGATAAACGGTGTTAATTTATTATTCGTTTTTTTTTTCTTTTTAGTAAATATTACTGCATCATCCAGATGCCATATGCCCAAAGGAATAGAATTCCTATGGGCCTTAACTTTTGTAAAGTCAGCACCAAGCGGATGCTGTTTTGTAAATTGGAAAAGAAAGGGTCATTTTGTTGGAAAGTCTTAATTCCAAAAGGGAGATACAAACGGAATATTCGATTGGGCAGGGCAACCAACCATTTGCAATACTCGAATGACCTGGGCCAGACACGTGTAGGGTAGCGGTTACGTTGAAATTTTCAGAATTGACCACGTAACTAAGCTAATTTGTTCCCGTTAGAATAGCTCAGACGAATGTTATCTTTACACGTGGAACAGCGGTGCGATTCAGGTGTCGGGGCGGGGGATCCTATTCCTAGCTCCCAAGGCTTTTTTTAAGGATGGGTTCGGAGTGGGACCGGTCTCCAACCCGGCGTTTGACCATTCAATAAATAAATGTAGCGTTGCATTGCAATCTGAATTCTGAAATCCCTCACTGTTGTCTGGAAACTCATTTCCACTCTCTTACCCACTGTAATCTGCAGAGAGAAATCTGGTTTTTCTCGTTTGAACACACATGGGCGATGCAGAGAGAAGAGGCGCCGGCGATTCAGTGAGCCAGGAGGCGACCCGGCTGCAGAGGCGGGCTCCGTCGTCGATTCAGATAAGCCGGCCGGCGAGCTGGAACGTGGCGATCCCGTTGCTATCCCCGCTGGTGTCTCCTTGCTTGGAGCAAGTCGATGTTTTGATGGGTGAGAACAAGGCGAGGGAGGAGGCGAGGTCGCGGGACAAACCGGCCACCTTTACAAGGTGGAAGCACCCGGCGGCTCCATTCTATTATGGGCCTGTCCAGAGGACCACCCCCTTTGTGCCCGTCTGATTTCATTTTATTTTATTTCCTTCCTCTGCTTCCAACATGGAACACTTTGTTGTATCATGTATGTATAAATTTGCCTTTAAAAAAAAAATTATAATTATATACAAGCGTTTTTTCTTCGTAAATCTTCTTGAAGGAGAAGGAGCGAGAAGCTCAAATGGGGTCTTTGTATTTTGTAATGAACCAAAATTTTTAATGGTTTTGGATTTGCGTTAATTTTCTTCCATTTTCTCAGCGAATCTGGTTGGAAGTGGGAGTTAGACGATTGTTTAAATTTTATTAGAAATTTTTTTGAAGTAGACAAATTTGTGGGTATGGGAAGGGGCCGAAGCAGTGGTTATGAAACCTCAACCTCGACCTCTGGCGGGACCAGACATGACGTGGCAGCACAACAGAAGCATTTTTCCATTTGGTCCCTCCTTCATTTTCTCTTTCACTTTCAAGTTCCAACGAACTTAATTTTATTCACAGTTGTCTTTTTCTAAAATAGTCTAGACAACACGCATATGTTTTTTAGATTAAGTTACCACTATGTTGTTTTCTTTGGGTTTAGTTTTAATTTTTCTAGATCACAAATGTAGGGGTAGGATTTGAAGATAACCGACTTTCTTATCAATTGAGTTGGATTCAAATGAATTCAAACCTAATGATTAAGCAACTTCAAAATGGTGTAATTAGTTTGTTTTTCTTTTTCCTTTTTATCATGTTTATTTACGTTTTACATGGACCAAGTTTTTTATTAAAATGATTTTAATAATTATTGACCTTCATGTTTTCTATTTTTTTTGGCTCTATTTAATTGTTTTTTAACATGATATCAGTATTGTTTTTATGGAACGGGAAAAAACAGAAATATAAAGAAATCAAAATTATCTTCTCTCTCTCTTTTTCTTTCTGGCATAGGTAGAAAATAAAAATAATCAATACAACGAGTATTTTTTAAATAATAAAAGGAGTCTTCTATCTTCTGTTGCCTTAAGAAAATCAAGATTACAATAGAATAAAAAAGTTTGTAACAATTCAGAAGATTTAAAATTATAAAAGAGCGATTAATATACATTTAATGATATTAAATAAGGTGTGCACCCGTTCCAACGTTCAAACTTTAAATTATATATATATATATATATATATATATATATATAATCAATTGTAATTATTTGTTTGAAACGCGTGGTGGCTAGTGTTGTCATGATAATTCAAATTTTCCATTTGTTCATTTGAGAAAAAAAAGTATTATGCAAGAAAAAGTAAACTATGGTCTATGACATAAGCTTGAATTTTAAAGAGAAGGCAAACAATACAATATTTGAAGACTTAATTTAATATAATTAACTCACACCCTAGCAATTCCTTTTATTGAAGGTTTCAATTTTAAATTTTGAACTAAACAAGAATAATACACAGTCGTTTGGTATTATAATAGAATTGTAATAACCACTTGTTTTTTTTAATTTTATTTTACTATACAAAATTTTAATTTATAATGAAAAAAGATTGACGGCAGTTGATGAACAAATATCAATTGACATAATATATAAATTAATAGTAGATTCTTTAACAAAGACTTGAAAAAATAATATGTRAAAAGAAAGCTTTTAATAAGAAAATATCGAAAGACCAAATGATATAGTGTCAGAAGAAATTAAAAGAATACATATATATATGTTAAAGGTATGGTTTATGAAAGTGAAACTTTTGAAAAATACTTTTTTTCCTCCTAGTATTGATGGAGTTATTGAGATCATTTTATTTTTTTYAGTAAAAGACAAAAATTAAAATAAAATGTCTGAAGAAAATTAAATGAAACAGATAGGGATATATATAGTCTAAAAAAATCAAAAGAAAATTTTTGGCTCTTTCTTGTTTTGCCTCTTTTCACCGAAAGTTTATTGATGTTCAATTGAAATACTAAGAATGAGATTGAGAAGCACTGTTAAAAAAACATTCGTTAAATGCTAACATTTTTAAGTATTTTTAGAATTTAAAAATCGTACTTTATTCCGTAAAAATGACGGAAAAATGTTAACACTTTACAAGAACACCTACGGCTTAAAAAACATTGGAAGAATGCAACTTGTAAATAAATAAATAAAAAAAAAAAACCGACTGTAACAGTCTTGAATGAAAAATTAAAACAAATATCATTTGTAAAGGCAATTTATAATTATTTTCAGTAATCTTGTTATCTTCCCARCTCAAAAAATCATGTTTACGTATAATTTATTACAATTAAATACCCAAATCCCGAAAAGTTAGGAGCAACTAAGTTTAAAATTGTAGCCACCAACGACCATATAATGATATTCATGTGTGTCAAATGTTGGAGAGTGATTATTTATTACCATCTTGTATTTCTATATCTTCTTCTTTTCTTTTAAAGGAAAAATCATTTCATTCAAAAGTAGTGAGAAACATATTAGGAAGGGAGGTCATGAGAAAACACTCTAATCTAAAGAAATGGTTGATATATCGTAGTTAAAAAGAAAGGAGATTTAGAGGACCAAGGCCATGTGATCTAACTGAATCCGAGAAGGTGTGACTATTACGCTCCAACCAAATTGACCATAAAGGAGAGAGCCAATTGTTGTACACCAAAGGATATTCCTTCTATTGCATGTAGAGACACTAAAGATTCCTTTAACATAATATCTGTAAATTCAGGGAGCCCATAGAGATGTTAAAGACATAAAAAAGCACGTACCAAAGTTTTAAGGTGAATGGCAAATGCAAAAATAAATGATCCAAAGATTCTGATGAACGATTGCAAAGGACACACCAATTTAGACTGATAAGGAGCAAAGRGTACCTTGATTGAAGTTTGTCATATGTGTTGAGYCCTCGATGAATAGTACACCAGAAAAAGAACTTGCACTTTTTTTGGGAAAGGGAGATCCCAAAAAGATGAGAAGAAATCCATTGTAAGCCTTAGTGATAATGTATTTCTATCTTAACTATCGACTAGTTTGACTACCTTCAAATTCTTGACAAGTAGAAGAAAAAGACAAAAAGAAGGAGAAAAAAAAATATTTTATATACTTTCTAAAAAAATAAATTAACAGTTAAACTTTTAGCGATAGAATAGTATTTGGGTCGATTTCATTCTTGGGATCATTGGGGGTTGATCAAAAAAACCGACAACCCAAAGAATTCGAGCAACTCAATCCATGCAAGTTGGTAAAAGTTGGATTGGGTTGGATAAAAGCTCGGTTTGGGTCGGGTTACAATTTTTCTGAGTCCAGCAGTTCGGTTTGATTCATGGATTCAACAAAAAATAATTTCGGTTAACTTGAACTGAAACAAATATATATATATATACACACACACTTTTAGTTGTTCGGGGTTCAATTTTGCACTTGCTCCTCTTCCTCCCTCTTCTTTCACCTCTCTCATCTCCTTCAACTCTCCCCTTCAATCTCATCTCCCTCGAATCTCTCCTTCAATTTCATCTCGTTGCAGCCGTGCTAGCGTCGTCGACGTTTGTCACTCGTAATAGCGGTTGCCTGTCATTGTTGTTTACGCCATTGTTGCATATGCTATTCCTTCTTTGGTTTTTGCTAGGCTTGTGGGCACCAGATCGAGTCTATTACATAAATTCCTTTGTGATTAGCAACTCAATTGAAGGAATCGAGAAAACCTTCTGTTGCTATTAATTTTTGAAGCAGATCGGCACATTCCTTAATGAGGAGAAGGTCAATGACGATAGCCACACCATTCGTTCAGGTAAGGGTAAGATGAGGAAGAGGAACGGTCGCTATGTTGCTCGCCTCTCTTCCCTAAACCCTTAGGGAAAAGAAAAAAAATATGAGCAACCCGATRACTCGACCCAACCCAACCCGACAATTTTGGATTGGGTTGCATTAACCATTTTTATTGGTTTATTTGGTTCCCTTATTTAATCAACTTGAAAATTTGGATTGGTCTAAAATACTCCTTGAACCCGATCCAATCCAACTCGTGAACCCGACCGATGATCATCATCATCTTGAAGTTTACCTATTTATTGGTGAAATAATGCAACAAACATTTTGAAGAAATTAAAARGGTAGTGGACAGATATTGTAAAATGAAAAAGCCCATTGGTCCACTTAGAAAATGAGGAAGTTAATTTAGGCCCAATGCCATTTCCCTCTCTTTCACACTCACTACTTCTCTTGTTTCGAGAAAAAACAAAACAAAACAAAAGTGCTTACTGCTTACTGTTGCTTAGGCCACCACGCGCACGCCACCCACAAAAACCCTAATTTCCAAGAACCCCTAAAAGCAGTGCGTCCGCGGACGACCAAACTCACCTCTATTAATAAACAAAGACCAGGTATCACGAATCAATAACATTTCTTTTTTTTTTGGGTTTGCTTGTTTTTATCAAATAAGCTTCTAACAAGTTTCCTGTGC